AGAAAGAAACGCACAATGATGAGCACAAACAGCATTTAACATAAAGCAGGGGCTGGCACACATGGCCTGTTACCTGGCTTGAGGTAGGGTGCACCTACCCCATCCTGGCTTAAGCAGGTGAGAGGCTGCAAAAATGCAAACACCGGGGCCATCCTGCAGAAACAGGACTACACCCACCCAAAATTGGGTTTGAATGTTAAGACGGATGACCTACATGTACATGTATTCACACACATGCTCCAAGAGAGTATGCCGTTTATTACATAATAAGATTTCTGAGTTGAGCAGAGTGGGCTTTCCCAAGTTGGTCTGAATGTAGCTTGAGAGGGCAGAGAAAGGAGGTTGATTGAGGGTTTTATGGTGCTCAGAGGGTGGGGCCACAGCCAGGGCTACTGCACAGGGTTTGAACTCCCCACTGGCACTGGAAGAGGAAGCACCCACGCTTTCTTATCAGTTTGTCCAGCTGCGAGGTGATAAGAAACAAACATCAAAAAGTGGCCGGACTTTTGATTATGCCAAGGGAGGAGCAAGTCAAGGGTGGAGGTATGAACCTCACTGGGGGGTCTGGTTGAGGCCTCTGGTTGTTCCAGGGCTGGACCATGGTCACTAGGCAAGTAGGAGACAGCCCTCTGGGGTGCCGGGGCCAAGGCTGGTGGCCGGGGTGTGGAGAGGGCCATGGTGAGGCAGTCACAGGCAGGAGCGGGGGCCACAAACATGCCAGGGGGCCCCATTCATGAGAGGCTGACAGGCCATAACAGGAGCAAGAAGACAGACAAGATGGCGGCACACTGGGGTCCCTCTTCCTCCTGTGATATCCCTCCCACCCTCTCTAGTAACAGAGCTTAGCACTGTGCTTGCTGCGAAAGAAGGACAACAGCTCCATTATTGTCGGGCGGGGGCACTGAACCGGTGGACTTAAAGCTGGGAGGCAATAGACCGATAACTGGCACAGAAGCCCTGTTCCTTCCCCTTGTAGAGGGTCTGCCCAAGGCAAACGAGTCCCGTTCTGCTCAGCATTTTTGCGAGGGGGCCTGACCCAACACCGTCTGCGGCCTGTGAGTGACAGGGTGTCTTTCTACTCCTGGGGTTCTGCATGAAGAAGTCCATGATGCCCTCAGCTCTAGTCTGTAGTCTGCCTAAGCAATGACGGTGACAGACAACGGCGTAACCATCCTCAGAGTCACATGCAGTCATGGGGCTGCCCTTCCAAGCTGGCAGAAAAAGACCCTTCGCCAAGCTCCATGGGCAGTATAGTGATTCACACTTGTCACCCAGCCCTTTGGGAGGCTGAGGCAGGAGGATTGCTCAAGCCCAGGAGTTGGAGACTAGCCTGGGCAACATAGTGAGGCCCCATCTCTATAAATTATTTAAAAATTAGCTGGATGTGGTGGCGCATACCTGTAGTCCCAGCTACTGGGGAGGCTGAGGCAGGAGAATCCCTTGAGCCTGTCCTCCCAGCTCCTTTTTCCGGGAAGCCAGAAAGCTGGAAACCATTCCAGACATGTTGACCTGCCCAGCCTCCAAGACCGCAGGGGTCATGCCAGGGGAGCCGATCTCTTCCCCCTTCTTCCCATGTCGGTGCTACCACCTCCTTGCCCACCTCATGTCCCATCAGTAAGGGTAGTGTCTAAAAAGCCATCACGTGGGCCAGGTTGGGTGGAGCAGATTTGTCTCCAGCTTGGGTAGGTCAAGCAATGCTGGGTTGTTGCTTCTCTGTCAAAAAATGCACCTTCTAAATTCACTTCAAAGTCATTTCCAGCACTGGGCTTATGGGGTTACAGTGAGTATCTTGTTTTTATCATCACTGAGGGCATCAGATAAATCAGCCTCTTGGCCTGGGGCATTCATTCACCAGAGCGCGTAGGCGGCTGAGGAGCAGCAGTGCAAAGGCCCCCTAGTGCCAGGTGTGCCCTGAGCCATGAGGGGCAGTCTCTGGAGTGGTTCATGAAGCCAGTTATGGCAGGACAGAGCCCCCTCCAGGGTGGGTGGGAGCCAGCAGTGGAGTCGACCTTCTGTAGACTGGGAAGGGAGGTGCATGATCCTGCCATGGAAATGAACTCACTGATGTCCATGAGAGGACAGGACTTGGAGTGACCAGGCAATCAGAAAACTGACCTGCCAGACTCAGCAACATGCTAGATCACATGGGGAGTTTTATAAGCTCATCACAGAGGCCACAACCTACACCAATCATGTCATTATCTCTGGGCTGGACCCCAGGCATTGCTTTTTTAAAAAAAAAAAAAGTATTAAAAACTGAAGTCACTGGAACATGTAGCCAAATTAGGAAATGAAGGTCTAAAGAAACACTGGATGTCATTCGTGGATCCTAGAGCACCATGATCGAAATTAAATGGGCAGGTGGTAACATCAAAATATTTTCTAGGTCTGGTGAAGAAGGCTGGACCCAACCACCAAAAGAGAGAACCACCATCCACCCCTACATCCACTTCTTGAGGGAAAGCGGAGTCGATGTACATTCTATAGTGGAGTCCAGGTGCCAGCCTCAAAGAATTCTGCTCCGAAAGGGACCTGGGTGAGGCAGGATAGGTAGCCAGGGAAGTGACCACATGCTTGGGTTTCTGCACGCGTGGTGACCGCAGTCAGCACAAGAAGACTCAGCATTCACACTGTACTGAGTTCATTCAAGCAGAGCCATCTCCAGTAGGGAACTTCCCCTGTGGAGAGCACGCACACTTTGATCTCACTCATCCACACACTGACACTTTGCTTTTTATGATAGCAAAAAACACACCCGTAGGTGGAGATTTAAGATGCTGAAGAGACATGTGCACAGCTGGTGCCGCCACTCCCATAAAGGGAGTCTCCCTGGAGCGGGTCTTTGCCGTCTCATCCTTAGGAGCAGCCCGCCCTGAATCCTCCCTCTCAGGATGTCCTATCTATTCTGAACTTAACTTCAAAATATTCTATTTCTGTGCAATCAATTACTCTATGCTGTATCTCTTTTGCTCTGTGCCTCTTGTTGAAATTCCTTTAAATTAAGAAGACAAGAACTGAGGTGTCACAACGGTGAACCTAATAAACGAATCCAACCGATTCGGGAAGTGACCTTTCCAGACCTCCTACTGTGAGCTCAACCAGCCATCCATAAAATGCCCTCCAAGGAGAGCAGCATCAGCAGGGCCCAACATGCAGATTCTCAGGTGATCCCAATCAAGTAAAATCGGAGAAATCATCACCCAAAGGAGCCTAGGGAGACGTGACAATGGAAGGCAATGTGGCGTCCTGGATGGGGAGGAAGGAGGAGGGCACTGAGTAAACACGAAGGAGGTCTCAGTAAGGTAGGGGCCTCAGTTCACGCCAATACTTTGAGTCAGTTTATCCCTTGTGGTAAATGTACAATAATACTGGGGGCAATGGTGTGTGACAATGGGAGCTCAATGGACTTTAGAAAGTTATTCTAAAACGAGTTCTATTTTTTACTGCACATGCTCAGGCCCCACCCCCGATCTACGAAATTGGAAGCTCTGAGTTCGGGGCCCACCCATCTACGGATTAACAAAGACTTCGGGGCATCGTAATATCGCTAAGACCAACTAGTCACCGGAGACTCCAAATGACTCTGTAGGTCAAGAGTCAAATCAGAAATTTAGAGATTGCAAAATGTAAACCAAAAAATCCACCACGCGGGGCAGGCAGGTAAATAGGCAGAGTAGATAGGATTCGGGGGGCAGTAAAAATACCCGCCATGATACTCTGATACTCCAGTGGTGGATACTCATCATTAGGCCCTTGTCCAAACCCACAGGATGTACAAGACCAAGAGCGAGCCCTAATGGACACCACGGAGTCCGGTTGGTGAGGATCATGTGTCCAGGCAGGCTCACTGATGGAAAGAGCGCCCCACTCTGCTGGGGATGCTGGTGGGGAGAGGCTGTGCCGTGTGGGGAGGGTGTCTAGGGGAACTCTGTGCTGCCCACTGAATTTCCCTGTGAACCTGTAACAGCTCTGAAAAATAAAGTCTAAAGTCAGGCATGGTGGCTTATACCGTTATCAGCCTGGGCAACAAAGCCAGATCTCATCACTACCAAAAATTATTGCAAAAACTTTTAATATTATAATTAATAAAATCTAGCCCGGCGCGGTGGCTCAAGCCTGTAATCCCAGCACTTTGGGAGGCCGAGGCGGGTGGATCACGAGGTCAAGAGATCGAGACCATCCTGGTCAACATGGTGAAACCCCATCTCTACTAAAAATACAAAAAATCAGCTGGGCATGGTGGCACGTGCCTGTAATCCCAGCTACTCAGGAGGCTGAGGCAGGAGAATTGCCCGAACCCAGGAGGCGGAGGTTGCGGTGAGCCGAGATCGAGCCATTGCACTCCAGCCTGGGTAACTAGCGTGAAACTCCGTCTCAAAATAAATAAATAAATAAATTAAATTAAATTAAATCTAATAAAAACAATACAGAGTGGAGTGGCTCATGCCTGTAATGCCAGCACTTAAGGAAGCCAAGGCAGGTGGATCACTTGCACTTAGAAGCTCAAGACCAGCCTGGGCAACATGAGGAAACCCCACCTCTACAAAACCCACAAAAGTTAGCCAACTGGGTGGCGTGCTCCTGTAGTCCCAGCTGCTTGAGAGCCTTAGAAGGGAGGATTGCTGGAGCCTGGAAGGTGGCGGCTGCAATGAGCAGTGACGGTGCCAGTGCAGAAAAAAAGAGAGAGAAACAAAGAGAGAGAGAGAAAGAGAAAGAAAGAGAAAAAAAGAAAGAAAGAGAAAGAGAAAGAAATGAAAGAAAAAGAAAGAGAGAGAGAAAGAGAAAGAAAGGAAAGAAAAAGACTCTTCAGGATAACCAATAAAAGCTGAGTTTCAGTTAAATAGTATTTAGACCATGTTGATACTAAAAAAATTTGTTCATCTCAAACTCAGATTTCCCCAGGCATCATGTATTTAATCTTTTCACCCTCCTTGGACCACTTCACAGCAAAATAGTGCGTAACAGCATGTCAATCAGGAGACTCAGTTTTTTGTGATACAAATATTGAAAACTAATAGGACAATCATTTATTGAAAGAACAGCAAAACAAACCAAAATAAACCTATAAGAAAACAACAGACATAATGAAACAGAAAACCAGACTCACTGGGGGGGAAACCTATTTACTCAAACATCCTGGGAATTCCAATCTAGGGCACCCCATCTGTGTGTCAGGCAACCCTGCCCCGTCATATTGTCATCTGACAACATTGGAGAAATTCATCATTCACTTCTTCCTGGTGCAGACGACGTGGACCTGATTATGGGATCACTAAGAAGTGTTTTCTGGATGTGTTTTCTGGTGGCGTCTTAGCAATTTCAGCCGGCTGAAGGCTCTCGGACACTTGGAGCATTTATAGGGTTTCTCTCCGGAGTGGACTCGCTGGTGCTCCTTTAGGCTCCCTCTGTAGGTAAAAACTTTCTTGCAGACTTTACATTCGTAGGGCTTCTCCCCTGTATGGCTTCTCTGGTGACACTTCAAGTAGGACTTCTGGGTGAACCGCTTCTGGCAGACATCACACGTGTAGGGCCTCTCGCCAGTGTGGGTTCGCTGGTGAAACTGGAGGCTGATGAGCTGCATGAAGCGCTTGCCACAGAGATTACACTGAAAGAGTCTCTCTCCTGTGTGTGATCTCTTGTGGATGACTAGCTTGGAATTGCATGAAAAGTTTTTACCGCACACGTCACATGCAAAGGGCGGCAGTGCCACAGCTTCTTGGCCATCGGGGTGACTGCCTGCATCCGCAGGGCCTGGGGAATGAACCGGATTCATCCCAGCTGGGCCCGGGGAGTCTCTGTTGCCCACAGGTGTGGCTCCTCCTTGAGGCTCTTCTTGGGAAATGGAGGTGGCGTCTGGTTTGCTTCTTTTGGGACCTCTCGGATTCGGAGAGTCTCTGTCCTCGCTGTGAGTCGAAGCTTCTGTCTCCACTGCGCAGGCAGAAGCTGTGTCAGCATCCACATTCTCCACAGAGGCTCTTTTCTGGGGTTCCTTCCCATCCTTTGCCCTCTCCAGATCTGCTGGAAAAAGGGATTCCACATGAAACAGTGAATAAAGTGCATTTTCAATTCACCAAACTCATTGCAACCAAATGCTGAAGTGGGTTGAGAACTTCCCCTCCACCTCAAGCCTGAGACATGGGACCATAGGTCTCTGGAGAGTGGGGGATGGAGAGGCTTTGGCAGCTGAGCACCAGCTCCCCCAGGAGACGATCATGCTGGCCCAGCCCCCCACCCCAGAAGAGAGGGGCTAACTCCCTGTGGGTCCAAGTCTCCATACTCACTGGGACCCTGCGGAAGCTGAGGCTCTGGGGATGTGAGTCCTGGGTTCTCTTTGCTGTTTTCCTTTAGATCCTTCTCCAGGTTCTGCTTGGGTCTCAGAACCTTTGGGTCACCTCTCATGACAATACTCTTTTGTAGCCGGAAGTCCTCTCCCTGACAGTGAAAAACCAAGAGCAATGACTGCCGGGTCTACACTGGTGGAAGCACAAACATCTGCGTCCCTTCCTGATTGGATGCACCAACTTTTCTAATGACACAGGTGTGGAAACATGTGCACACTTCCTCTGGGCCACCCCACCAACCCAAGTCAACATCACCACCTCATTTCTGAGTCTGTCCCTAATTGGGACCCTCCATAGTCTAAATCAGCTCCTGTGCCTGGTGGTTTTCACTCTGGTTCTCTGAGCCTATGTCTCCCAGGGATGCCACCGTCTCCCTGCCCCCGATGCTGGAAGAAGCAGGACTCTAGGTCAACGTCCCTCACCCATGGCACCACTGGCACAGGGGCTGCATCACCCTCCTGGTGGGGGCACTCCTGTGCAGTGTGGAGACCCCGCCTCCACCCTCCAGATGCTGTGAACACCCCACCACCCCCTACAATGACACACAAAAACATCTCCACACATGGCAACTGGGTCCTGAAAGGCAAAATCACCCCAGTTAAGAAACACTCCTAGAATTAAGAAAAAGACAATCTGTAGAAAATGGGTTTCTGGCTGAATGATTTCATGAAATGTCTTTGAGGAAACTGGCGATGGGGAAGGGACCTTCAGTTCATTCATTTGTGCCAACTGCCTCCCTCACTTCACTGACAACATTTCTTACCCCCACCCTAAATGCTAAAAGCTTCCATGCTGGAGGGAAAAGTAGACGAGCCTTCACTGTCTGTGATGGCTCAGAAATGTCTGGGGATGTACCATGTTCATGGAGGATGGCTCTAATTTTCTCCTGTGTCAAATCTCTCAATCAGTCCAGCAGCCACACGATTTCCTCCTGTTCCTTCTCCCACCTCTGCCCAGACACCAGGGCCTAACACACTCACCTGCCCCCCGGACAGTGCAGGGACCCTGGGCAGGGTCTGCAGCTCTTGGCTGGCCTGGCCTTTCTCTGAGTGCATGTCATTCACAGAGGAGGCCTGCTGGCTGGACACGTCTCTCAGATCATCCCTGACGCTGGCGGGGGCTTCGGCCATCTGGACATCTGAGTCCTGCACGATATATTCCTTTCCCTGGAAGGTGACTACAGACTGTAGAGAAAAAAGACAACCAGACTCACCGTGAGAACCTGGAAGTAGCTCTCACATTCCCTGGATCCTGCCATCAGGCTCACACTTTACTGTAATTAATGTTCAAAATCTTCCCAATGTAGAGTCAGCTCTGTGGACACAGCAATCCTGTCTAAATTTCTTCCTCTCTAGACTCCAGCACCTGTCTGTGCCTGGAATGTTCTAGATAAGTAGATAAATATGGGTCATTTGGATGAAAGGGTCTCTAAACCAAGAAGAAAAGGAGAAATATTCTGGGTGAATCCAGCTCAATTTGCCAACAGCAGCTCACCTTCTTATGGAAATTAGGGGCTCCTGTGGAGACCTCCAGAGAGATGCCTGGATATCTGATGCCAACCACTTCCCTGCCTCAGGTGGGGACTTCTGGACCTTCAGTTCACTCTAATGCCGCCTTCCCTACGTTCCATCAGGCATAATATTTCACCAATGTCTTTCTTTTATGCTGGCCTCACACATGGTGTGGGTCCCTGTTTCCCCTCTGCCTGTCCATCTCCTAGACCAGGGATGTGCCATCTCAGCACAGCTGATATTTGAAGCTGGATGAGTATTTGTCATGGTGGGCTCTCCTCAGCATTGGAGAATGTCTAGCTTGTGACAACCAAAAACTGTCCCCAGACACTACTGTGTGTCCCTGATGGGCAAACTCTCCTCTACTTGGAAACCCTGACCTAGAGCAGCCCCTCGTGTCCTCTCGAGTCCAGCTGCAGCTTGCAGCCCCCAGCCCGGCTCCCCTTCCCTGCACCAACCACGAGGGTCCCACTCACCCATTTCTTGGGTCTTCTGTTGTTCCGTAGCAGGTCCTCCAGCTCTTTGCAGCTCCGCACACCGTTCATCATGACTAAGACCTGGAGCTCTTGGGGCATGGAGATCATGAACTGCTCCATCACCAGCATGTCCAGGATCTGCTCTTTGGTGTGGAGGTCGGGCCTCAGCCACAGGTGGCACAGCTCAGTGAGTTTCCTCAGAGCCTGGATGGGGTCTGACTGCTCCGGGCAGCTGAACATCCTGAAGTTCATGTGACAGGTCTCAGGGTCCCGGTCATGATTTCCGAGTGGAGTTTCTGAGGATGTCACAGACCGTGGCAGCTGCAGCCCACGGCTGTTGCAGGCTTCTCCCTGACCCCATGAGGGTGTGCAGTTTGCAGCCATAGCTAGTGGAGAGTTTTGTGATCCGTCTCTGAGAAAGCTCTTCCAGTAGCTGGTATCTAACTGATGATACCTGTCTATACAGGATAGGTATGCAGATATGTGGAGGTAAGTCCTGGGTTCTCTCCTTCCACACAGGCTTCCCCTGGCCTTCCTCAGTAATGGAGTCACTGTTTGTTCAGACGTCTGGGGGGAAAAAAGCATGAGCCTGATCAGTTTAAGTTTCTACTCCATCTGCCCCTCCCCTCAAAATCCCTCATCTTGGATGCTAGTTCTTCAGCAGCATCAGACTCAGCACCGTGGAAATCAGTCCACTCTCTTATTCTTCCAGTGTCTATACCTGACTGTATGCTCCGGCTTCAAATCTAAATGCCGCCCTGGATTCTGATGTCTAGGAAATCACTGTGCAGAGATGGAATCCGTTTTCCTTTCAATTGAAACAATATTATGCTTTGTTGTTTTTGGAGATGGAGTCTCACTCTGTCTCCCAGGCTGGAGTGCAGTGGTGCGATCTCCACTCACAACCTCCACCTCCTTGGTCCAAGCAATCCTCCTGTCTCAGCCTCCCGAGTAGATGGGACCACAGGCATGTGCCACCATGCCCAGCTAATTTTTGCATTTTTATTAGAGACAGGGTTTCACTGTGTTGGCCAGGCTGGTCTCGAACTGGTGACCTCATGATCCGCCTACCTCGGCCTCCCAATGTGCTGAGATTACAGGCGTGAGCCACCGCGCCCTGCCAACACAACATTATTCTCGACTATAACTTAAATAGGATAGTTATCTGAAGGTCCTAAAATCTGATGTAAAATAAGATAAATTCTTTGTTTTCCCATCAAGATCCAAAGCAATGCCCTTCATCATAATTATGCAAAAAGACAGAGAAAAAGAGTTAGAATGTAACATTTTCCCCAAACACATATTTGTGTTAATCCCAGAACATTTACTTGCTCCAGGGAAGGGAGTGCATTAAAGAATCCTGTGAGGGCTGGGCGTGGTGGCTCACGCCTGTAATCCAAGCAGTTTGGAGGCCAAGGTGGACGGATCACCTGAGGTCGGGAGTTCAAGACCAACCTGATCAACATGGTGAAATCCGCCCCCCCTTTAAAAAAAAAAAAAAAAAAGAATCCTGTGAGAATTAAGCTCCTACACAGATATTTTTGTTATTTTGGTAAAATGTACATTCAGAAATTTCACCATTTTTACCCTCCTCAAGAGCACAATTTCATGGCGCTAAGACATGCACTGTGTTGTGCAAACATCACCACTGTCTAGTTCCATAATTATCTTATCACCCCCAAAAATGCCCCATGCCCATCAGGAATCCCCCCTGCCCACCCACACCAGCCCCTGGCAATCCCTAATCTGCTTTCTGTCTCTAAAGGTTTCTGTATTCTTAATCTCATCTCAGAAAATGGATTTAAAGTCCAGTGCTCTATGAAATTTTCACGAAGTGGGATTCGACAATAGAAAAATGTTTTGAAATTTGGTTCTAAATGTAGCTGCATCAGGCAGGAGCCACTGTGTGATACTCTCCAGGCGCTAACCATCCTCCAAGGCCAACAGCTATGAGAACGCAGCCCTGCTTCCCTAGCCAGAGGTGGAAGAAGCCACCTCGAGGTCTGCAGAGAGGAGAAAGAACAGGCAGGAGGGTCTCGGGAAAGGTCCCTGGAAGCCTGGAGGATGGGAACCCACACCTCCTGGAAGGAATCTGAGCAAGTGCAGAGCAGACAGCCAGCCAGGGAGCGCATCGGCAGAGCGGGGAGACAACCCAGAGGAGGAGACAATATTTACACACCACGCATCTCACACGGGCTCCTATGCCAAGCACAAGCAACTCAAACAACTCCACAGCGAGAAAACACAGAACCCACTGGAAGGGGGCAAGGCGCCTGTGTGGACATCTCAGATGGAGACCTGTGAATGGCCAGCAGGTCTAGGAAAAGGTGCTCATCATCACTCATCTTCAGGACATGCAAATCCAAACCACAGGACACCCCTCAGGCCGGCTAGAGCGGCTGCTCCCAAAGACCCGTGTCGCGAGTGCTGGAGAGGATTGGGAGGACAGGGAGCCTCGGAGCCCTGTGCTGGGAATGTAAATCAGTGGAGCCGATTTGGGAGACAGTGTAGAAGCTCCCCAAAACATTAAAAGTGGAACAACTGCATGATCCGGCCGTCCCGCTCCTGGGCGTGTCCAGAGGAAAAGAAATCAGGACGTGGACTCCAAACCAGTGAACCTCGGGTGGGACAGAGGGAGGGAAGGTTGAAAAACTACCTATTGGGTGCTGTCCTCACATTCTGGGTGACCGGTAGAGTCACACCCCAAAACCTCAGCATCGCTCAGTATATTCATGTAGCAATTCTGCACAAGTACATGGCAAATTTAAAATAAAACAAAATTATAAAATACTTTTAAAAATAAAAGAAGTGAATGCTGTAAATAATAATTAAAAACCCAGTGGACTCACAGTAGCAGCGAGTAAAATGCTGGTTACCAGGGCTGGGGCGGGGGCTGGGGAAATGTAGGTCAAAGGGTACAAGTTTCAGTTGAAGAAATCAGCTCAGGAGAGCAATTGTCCAACATGGTGACTTCAGCTCATAACAATGTTTTGTACACCTGGGTATTGCTTTAAAAAAGTAGATTTCAAGTGTTCTGGAAACCAAAAATGGTTAGTCCATGAGTTAGGGCATATGAATATTAGCTCAATTTAGCCATTTTACAATGTTCATATCCTACAAAGCACATTATGCTGTATGACATAAATATATACAATTATTAGTTTTCAATTAGAAGCAAATTGATTTTTTGTTGCAAAAGCATACGGATGTGAGAGAGAAAAGGCAGCCTGAAATTCTCAATTAAAAGTGGCTTTGCCACAGGGAGCCTGCTGCTGCTCGGGAGGCGGAGGCAGGAGGATCACTGGAGCCCAAGTGTTTGATAACAGCCTGGGCAACATAGTGAGAGACTGTCTTTACAAAAAAAAAAAAGTCGCTTCATGTTCCTAGGAACTACTTTGTATTTGATCTCAGTTCATTTCCCATTAAAACTATTAACAAGACACAGGGAAAAAATAAAGGCAGGACAGGGGTCAGTGTTCAATTCTTGGAGTAGACAGCACACGGGACACCCAGGTAGGGACACTTAGCTCAGATTCTCACTGGCCTAGTAGGTTGATGCTCATTCATTAACGGCTTGATTTGACTCTATGGAAAGGGAAAATCCAGCAACGCTTTTTAAAAATTTTTTTTTTTTTTGAGACGGAGTTTCGCTCTTGTTACCCAGGCTGGAGTGCAATGGCGCGATCTCGGCTCACCGCAACCTCCGCCTCCTGGGTTCAGGCAGTTCTTCTGCCTCTGCCTTCCTGAGTAGCTGGGACTACAGGCGTGCGCCACCATGCCCAGCTAATGTTTTGTATTTTTTAGTAGAGGCGGAGTTTCACCATGTTGACTAGGATGGTCTCAATCTCTTGAGTTTATGATCCATCCGCCTCGGCCTCCCAAAGTGCTGGGATTACAGGCGTGAGCCACCGCCCCGGCCCAGCAACGCTTTTTAAGAAGGGTGTGTGGCAGGCCAGGTGGCTCACACCTGTAATTCCAACACTTTGGAAGTCCCATATGGGAGGTAGGCTTGAGGCTGGGAGTTCAGGACCAGCCTGTGCAACACACCGAGACCTCACCTCTACAGAACAAATTAAAACATTTATTCGGTCGTCGTGGCTTATGTCTGCAGTCCCACCTACTCAGGAGGCAGAGGCGGGCGGATGGCTATTTTACAGAAGCGTTGCATAAGAATCAGAGTTAACAACGAGATGGAAAGGAGACCTGCTGCTTTCACAAGGTCTCGGAGCAAATGCATGAGAAAGTAAACCCACATCTTTCTGATACCAACCCCTCCGCCCCACGCCAACTCCTAAACCCCATAGGCATCCCCACTGGACGCTCACCACCTTCCTGGCTTTTGGCCCCAATCTCCTCGCGTCTGGGATGCGCTCTCCTCGTGGCTGGGAGATGAACTGCTCTATTTATACAAAAGCCGAGGGACTCCAGATCCCTTTTCTGGTTCCCTACGCCGCCCCATGATTGGTTTAGGGCCATATAATCCATTTTAGGTGACTGACGTTGATTGCATTTCCCAATGAAACCCCACCCACAGGAAATTAAAGTATTAAACATGCCTACTGTGCACATAACATTGGTTGTCCCGCTCTACTGAGTTATTTGTCATATTTCTGAAGTATTTGGAGGCCTCGGAAAATACAGATCCACAACTTTTAACCACTTTGGGTCCCCTCATGCCACAGACACTAATATCATAACAAATAAAGAACATGTTAAGAGCTGGTGGATTAATATCGAATCAGTGATTTGATCTAGTTCGAGGAAAGCTTTCACATGTGAATGTCAAGATGTTGAAAAAAGAGACAGTTATTGTTGACACATAATGAATACTGGTGATAATTTTTTACCAAAACAAAAACAAAAACAAAACAAAACTTGGAATTGACATGTGAAAGCTTTGCTTGAACTAGATTAAATCACTGGTTTGATATCAGCCAATCTATCCTTATATAAAAACAGTGGGGGGCCAGGCGCGGTGGCTCAAGCCTGTAATCCCAGCACTTTGGGAGGCCGAGGTGGGTGGATCACGAGGTCGAGAGATCGAGACCATCCTGGTCAACATGGTGAAACCCCCTCTCTACTAAAAATACAAAAAAGTAGCTGGGCATGGTGGCACATGCCTGTAATCCGAGCTACTCGGGAGGCTGAGGCAGGAGAATTGCTTGAACCCAGGAGGCGGAGGTTGCGGTGAGCCGAGAACGCGCCATTGCACTCCAGCCTGGGTAACAAAAGCGAAACTCCGTCTCAAAAAAAAAAAAAAAAAAAACAGTGGGGACCAGAGAAAGGTACATGGTCCCTACTCTGCATTCTTTCCAGGACGGTGGGAGGATGGTTTACAGATCCACTGAGGGTCCCGCAGGGTTCCCTAGTTCTCAGCCCCCTCAGCTGGGGCTCTCAAGCACAGAAAGCCTTAATGGTGGGTGGGAATTTTACCGTGTGGATCATGGAGTCCACGTGGAATGAAAATTAAGTGCTACGAAGGATTAGAATATAATTTTGGACATTCATATCAACAGCTGAATGACTCATAAATCCGTTCAAATAGTGACTTACTCATTTAA